CCCCAAAACCCCAAAACCCCAAAACCCCAAAAGCAGGTTTATTTAAAATATCGCAAATTCTGATTTTAGTTAATCTTTTAATAAGAAATTCTCAAGTAGAGTTATTTTTCACCATCTCTTAATTATCTTCAAGATTTTCAGTTGATGTTAAAATCTGATTGCTCTTTTATATATTTTGATTCGAATTTTAATTTTCAATTTTATCAGGATTCTGCTAATGAGATATGTAATCACTTGATTCAGATTTTACTTATTATTTCTCATTTGTGATTGTATTCTTAGCAAGCTCAACTTAATTATCTTAATCAAGTATTGACTATTTTTCATTTTTAGATTCTTGCTCATATTACACTTAAGTCATTTATTCTTGATTATGATTATTTTTATTTTATTTCTTTGAAGAATTCTCAATTATCTGGTGTGTATCTAGCTTTGATTCACCATTTTTAATCAATTAATCAATTTAATCTTGATTTTCATCCTCTGAGCTGTCATTCTAAGCAGTAAAATTCTTTGTGATATTTTATGAAGCATGGCTTATCACTCTTTAGAAGAGACCTTTAAATCCTATAAATAGCCCTTAATTATTTGCATTTAATTAAGCTTGCTACCTTACTAATTAATCTTCTTAAATTCTGTTATCAGATCTAGACTACTAATTTTGTTCTTAAGCAATTATTAGTTCCTCTTTATCAGGTGTTCTTTACTTTATTGATGGAGTTGTAGAATCTTTAATAGTCTCTTGAGATTACTTTTAATTTGCAAATGCTTATGATTCTTATTATATTTAGGATTCTTTACTTTTCTAGGTATCACTAAATTCATCTTTTTAAATCTAAATTTCTGAATTATTTTAAGAGTCCAAAATTTTTATTTCATTATTCTTATCAATTTCAGCCTACTTTATTTCTTCTTACTTATTAATAGCGCTTTCTTTTATAAGTGGCTTTTATTAAACAGCTTATTTTTAATCAATTAATTTATTCTGCTATTTATCTAACTTTGTTTGCTACAACTAAGTCTTTCGCATTAGATCATATTCAGTCTGTTTCATATCTCTGAGCATAAACTGAAAGTATTGGCTTTTAGTTACGGATGAATCTAGTACCTCTCTATTTTCAATAATAAAATGAATATCATCGTGAGCCTACTCATGCATTTGAAACCGCTTGCTATTTATAATACTCCTATAAAAAGCAAGTTCAACCAAATTTCTTTCTGAAAGTTCATTTCTGTAGTTGATAAGTTAGAGGATAGTAATCATATAATTGACTGATAAATTCATTCGGACACTTGTATATTTGGATAGAGAGATTTCATTCATAGGAGTCTCACCAATAATTAAAGTAAGAAAGAAGAATCCCCAAAGATCCTAAAGATGAAATTATCAAAAATTAGATTACATTATTTTGATTTAGTACTAGATTTGCAAGTCTTCTAATGAACAATTTTATTTACGAATGCTTTTCATTAAGAGCATCAATATTGTGCAGAATAAAAGCAACATTCAATTACCATTAACTAAGTAATTAGTCTCGATACTATTTATTACTAAATAATCTCTCTTACTAGCCCAGATTAATCAGCGTCAATGTAAACAAAGGGCTTTTCTTATTGATTTATTATTCAAGCATTTTAAGAATAATCTCATTTTTCTATTACTCATTGGCAAATATTAAAGTCAAAAGCAATGCATCAGATGATCTTGATTAATTCATAAGATCTCTAATTAAGTAACTATCATATCCAAAATTAAACTTTGAATTCTAAAAATCAAAAGCATTTGACAGAGTCAAATCTCTCATAATTTCTGATTTAACATTTTTTCCTTATGATTCCTTTGAAGAAAAAATTTTCATTTCTTTGACTTTATCTATTATAGAATTTGATTGAGTTAGTGAACTAATAACTTGTTCTCTTAGTAATTTAGAATTTTCATTTTTGAGAGACAAAATATGCGGCATTTTTAGTTGAGTACTCACTGAAATATGCGAGATCATCGATTAAAGTAATAGCCACACTTGCTTTTCACTCTATTCAATTGAACATCCTGAAATATAATCAATGATTGATTCAATAAGATTATCTTTAATTGTAAAATCAAAGACCCTATACTCATTGATTACTCTCTGCATGGATGCATAATGATTAGTCTTTGGAGTCATTTATATTCTTTAAATCTGAGCTTGATTTTAATTTATAATTTTCAAGACATTAATTTTGTCTCCAACGAACGAGAAAAACACTTTTCTGTGAACCTGCATTTATTTAGGTCGCATTGATTCTTCCTAAGATTATTAGTTCATTTAAGATATCACTGACTCTTAAATTTACTATTAGTCAGTTTCAAGTTCTTAGGGTGAATATATTTGCAAAATGCTTTCAAATGGTGGAATACAAATTTAAACTGAATCCTCAAAAAAGTCGGATAAGGAGATAGAAGTATCTTAAGAGAATTATTCATTTGACTATAATTTTTCATTTTGTATATCAGATTACTTGTAACCACTGTATTCTTAGTACTCAAACTCAGTTGCTTTATTTGTTTTTGTAAATTCTTAATTTTCAGGCCTATCTATAGGTTAATTTTTCTCAAGCTATTAATTAATATTATTCTCCTCTATTTTAGTTTCACATGATTCCTAAATTTATTAAAATTATTATTCATCATTACTCTAAACTTTCAATGATTATAAATTTTATACTGCATCACTATTAATTACTTCCTCATTTAAACTATCATTGCTATTTGAATTGCTAATAATTTTTAAATCTTCTTATTCTTAATGTTTTATTTGAATTTAACTTTCAAACTTATAGTCGTCTTCATTTTAATCCTCAAAAGAATTTAGCTAAATTAAATCTACTTAATTTTTTTGCTAAAGCTAATTATCATCTTCTAATTAAGATTTTAAATCATTCTATTCTAATAATTGGGCTTAATTTATCTTAAATTCTACTTATTCAACTCTTGATATGAATTATTTTTCTGCTTTTATCTAAGAAATTTCATTTAATTTTGATTCTAGGATTTACTTTTGAAGTTCTAACTCTGAATTGTATTATTCTTTATTTTCCACTTTATTTTATCTATCTTTTTCTGTAATGATTTCTACTCTCTAAGGTTAAATTTATACTTATTCTTCAACCTTCGGCTAAATTTCTGATTCAATCAGGTTTTCATGAGCATGAATCGATAGAATGTTAGACTCAATTTAAAGTATAGATGAATTCGAATCAGAGTCGGAGTCAGAGTCTGATAGTAATTTTGAAAAGAAATTGGTATCTGGTTTAGGCTTAAGCCAATCATATTTTTTAGAATTATCCTTATTTAAGATGCTTGCTTGTTAATTTATACTGATTAATGGCTATTTTTACCATGAGTATGTCTTCTTTTCCTAATCTTTAGGTTATTGGTTGATGCTAGAGGATTGTGCTTATTTCTACTATTGAATGCTTGATTTAATATCTTGGTCAGCTTAGACTAACTATTAAATCTACTCTGTTCTAGCTTTGCTTTATAGAACTTAATTAAACTATTCTGAATTTTGCCTACTTTAATTTGACAACTCATCATTTTTTAATTGACTGATTTTCTCATTTCTATTTTAATCTATTTCATCCGAATCTTCTTATGCTATTTAAACATTTACAATGTCATCTGTAATATTTGAATCTGCTTTAATAATATTATTTGGATCATTAATAGGTTAATCCACGTTTTATCATTTCTCCTAATTGGATGAATCTTGAATTAAATCATGATTATTATTATCTATATCTTTTGATACCTCGTATTCAGAATTATTCAATATGTATTCATTAGCTAATCTTTCTTTTTATGGCTTATTTTACTAGTCTAGAATCTATTACTCTTTGATCTCTTTACTCCATTCAATTGATTGCTAAGACTCTTAAATATTTTCTAGTTTATTACTGGCAATCTGATTTTCATCTTAGTCGCTATCATCAAAAGCAAAAGCATACTTAGATTAAAAGTCAACCATTTAAGATTATTTATATTATAATTGTAATATTAGGTCAGCATGTATTGATCCTATGGGGTTTTGGGGTTTTGGGGTTTTGGGG